AAAGGGGAGGAAAAGGGTAAGACTTGAAGCAAAACCTGCTGCAGATGTAGAGTTTACAGATCCATTCTGGAGGTAGTTGTTCCTTCGGGTGAACCTGATAGATGTGAGGAAAGTCTTAACTCAAGTATCAGATTTTTTCATATAGAAACATATGCTGTAAATCATGAGGAACCTTTTTTGGCTTGGGGCTACACAGAAAACTCAGTCCAAGTCTGCACACAAATGAGAAGCAAAAACAAAACAAACAAACAAAAAACCCAATAACATGGCCCCTGAAATGAGAGAGAGTGACTAACTGAGGTCAGAGTTAATATTTGGTATTTACATGTGATATGGAGAAATTGAAAGTATATATTTTATGTGGAAAAATTGCAGAATTAAAAATAAACTTGTAGTGGAACTGTGGACTTCTCTGTGATATCTGGATATTAAGATACGAGAGCTAAAACTACTGTGGACATTAATGTTGGTTTAATTAGTTATTTTCTCATTTTTAGTGATTATTGTTGTTGAGAAATGCGCTTGGACATCTTTAATTTTATATTGAGGATTACTTTCCTGGGTATAAATTACTAGAGCGGGAAGAGACCTTGAGAGATCATCGAATCCAGTTCCCTGCCTTCACAGAAGGACCAAGCACTGTCTACATCAGTGGTCCTCTACACAGTGCCCACGGGTGCCATGGCGCCCACCGGGGCATTTATGTGCCCCCGCCGAATGATCTGGGCCAGCCCCATGGTTATGCCCCCAGGTGCGTGTGTGGCCCGGCTCCCGGGTGACCGGCGTGCAAGTAGCCCCACCCCCAGGTGCCTGGCAGCCCCAAAAGGTTGGGGACCACTGGTCTAGAACATCCCTGACAGGTATCTGTCTAAACTGCTCTTAAATATCTCCAGATGGAGATTCCACAACTTCCCTAGGCAATTTATTCCAGGGTTTAATCACACTGACAAGAAGTTTTTCCTAATGTCAAAATGTAAACTTCCCTTGCTGCAATTTAAGCCCATTACTTCTTGTCCTATCCTCAGAGGCCAAGGAGAACAATTTTTCTCTCTCCTTCTTGTAACACTCTTTTAGATACTTGAAAGCTGCTATCATGTCCCCTCTCAGTCTTCTCTTTTCTAAACTAAACAAGCCAAGTTCTTTCAGTCTTCCCTCATAGCTCATGTTTTCTAGACCTTTAATCTTTTTTTTTTTTTTTGCTTTTCTCTGGACCTTCTCCAATTTTCCCACATCTTTCTTGAAATGTGGTGCCCAGAACTGAACACAATACTCCATCTGAGGCCTAATCAGCATTGAATAGAGCGGAATAATGACTTCTTGTGTCTTGCTCACAACACTCTGGTAATGCATCCCAGAATCATGTTTGCTTTTTTTGCAACAGTGTCACACCATTGATTCATGTTTAACTTCTGGTGCACTGTGACTCCTAAATCTCTTTCAGCAGTACTCCTTCCTAGACAGTCGCTTCCCATTCTGTATGTGTGAAAGTGATTGTTCCTTCCTAAGTGGAATACTTTGCATTTGTCTTTATTAAATTTCATCCTATTTACATCAGACCATTTCTCTAGTTTGTCCAGATCATTTTGAATTATGACCCTATCCTCCAAAGCACTTGCAACTCCTCCGAGCTTGGTATCATCTGCCAATTTAATAAGTGTACTCTCTATGCCATGATCTAAATCATTGATGAAGATATTGAACAGAACCAGTCCCATAACAGACCCCTTCAGAATCCCACTTGTTATGCCCTTCCAGCATGATTGTGAACCATTAATAACTACTCTCTTAGGCTGTGTCTAACCTACATCCTTTTTCTCGAAAAAGGGATGTAAATTTAGACACTTTGAAATTGCAAATGAAGCCAGGATTGATCTAAAATAAAACCCTTTTTCGAAAGATCCTGTTCTCATTTTTTGAATACAGAATCTTTCGAAAAAGGGTTTTATTTTCAATCGATCCTTGTCTAAATGGCCGTTTTTCTTTTGAAAAGCCCCGTTTAAAAAAACCCACGGCCGCCATTATGCAAATGATGCACGGGTAATTTAAATCCCCTCTTCAGTTGCAATTTCAAAGTGTCTAATTTACATTCCTTTTTTGAGAAAAGGGATGTAGTTTAGACAGTCTGAGAATGGTTATCCAGCCAGTTATGCACCCACCTCATAGTAGGTTGCATTTCCCCAGTTTATTGATATGAAGGTCATGCAAGACGTGTCAAATGCCTTACTAAAGTCTATGTATACCACATCCACCACTTCTCCCTTTTTCACAAGTGTTGATATTCTATCAATGAAAGCTATCATATTGGTCTGATCTGATTTGTTCTTTACAAATCCATGCTGTCTGTTACCTATCACCTTATTATCTTCCAGATGTTTGCAGATGGATTTCTTAATTGCTTGTTCCATTATCTTCCCTGGCACAGAAGTTAAACTGAATGGTCTGTAGTTTCCTGGGTTGTTCTTATTTCCCTTTTTATAGATGGGCACTATATTTGTCCTTTTTCAGTCTTTTGGAATCTCTCCTATCTTCCATGATTTTTCAAAGATAATAGCTAAGGCTCAGATACCTCCTCTATCAGCTCCTTGAGTATTCTAGGATGTGTTTCATCATGCCCTGGTGACTTGCAGACATCTAACTTTTCTAAGTAATTTTTAACTTGTTCTTTCATTTTAACTTCTAAACCTAGCTTATTTCCACTAGCATTCACTATGTTAGGGATCCCATCACCATCCATCTTCTTGATGAAAACTGGAACAAAGAAGTCATTAAGCACCTTGGCCATTTCCAAGTTTCCCGTTGTTGTTTCTCCCTCTTCAATAAGCCTACCTTGTTCTTGGTCTTCTTGCTCCTAATATACTTGTGGAACATCTTCTTGTTACCCTTCATGCCTTGAGCTAAATTTAGCTTGTTTTATGCCTTTGCCTTTCTAATCTTGCCCCTGCATACTTGGAAGAATGCAGCAAGGAATAAAGGAAGAAAAGTTTACATTGTAAACTTGTGTGAAAGACCACCTGTCCCTTTTCAGATCCTCTTCTTCACCTGAACTCAGATTTCCTGGATTTTTAATCAGAAAAGAAATATTTCTACATAGTCCAATTTTCTGTGTAGGTTCCAAAAATAATGTATTTGATTTGATTTATGTTGTCACTACCTTGGAAGTTGGACAGGTAAGATAAATGCTACAAAATATCGAGAACTTAACAATAATTTATTTGTAGACAAACATGTTTCCTTACATAAATGAGATCACTTTTGATTATTAAAAGTGCAAGATTTTTAAAAATCCAATTTTCTTGTCACTATAAAAGATATTTGTTTAAATAAAAATAATATACCCCACTTAAGCTTCTCTGTGCTGCAGTGTATGGTTTTGAACACATCAGGTGTACAGTTGTTTGTTTATGAAATTTCTTATACCGTACTAGATTTTAATTTTTAAAAGATAGAAGCATTTGTATATATATTAGGTTTTGTGAAAATTTGTTCCTGTAAAATACGAATTTGGCCCCAAATTCAATTTGTTCCTGTAAAATACGAATTTGGGGCCAAATGTAACTGACTACATCTCCTGCCCACAATCAGCAGGACATATAATTCACTTCTCTGTGTAGTCATAGACAGTCATAACAATACTACAGAAATAATTCCTAGTCAAGCAAATGCTGGACTCAGAAGTACTTCACATGACACCTTAAAAGTCAGTAGCCTCTATTTCTGGTGAACAGTGAGAGGAAATATGTACAGCAGCTGGATTTATTCCATTTCAGAATACAGTACCCCTAGTCCTAAACAGTATAACTTCTAGCATTGAAAAATGACATTTTTATAGTAAGTTTTTTTCTCAAAACTAGTGGAAGAAGTACAAAATGTAGATTTTTAGTTGTGCAAATAGTAACACTATATACCACTTTTATTTACGTATGCAGAATAAATAATTTATCTGTGCAATTGAAAGGCAAACAAAATGAGCTACAAAATCTGAATGAGGCCAGGAAACGCTTCCAAGAAGAGAAGGAAGTTGCACATAAAAAGTTAGAACTGTTCAGGTAAGTATCCCTAAATGGCAATTTGGTAGATCTGTCTCCTGTAGAAAAAAGAGGAAAAAAAGTATACTGCAATCAGTTAATATGACAAGATTTGTAGAATTATAAAATTACAAGAAAAATATGGCAAATGGAAAAAATATTTGGAAACATTTCAATATTTGCTTTTCAGAATATAGCAAAATAATACTGTGTTAAAAATATAATTTGATCATTTTCCAGATTTATTGTTGGCAATTTTCTCATTAATCTCTACAGAATAAATTAATAGAGTTAAAGGCATTTCTTGTGATATAGTAGCACTTAGAATGCAGCTGCAGTACCATATTTCTTATAGCTAGTTGCAAAGAATGATTTTAGCCAGTGCACAAGCATATAACATCTAGAAACTTTTCCTTTTATATTCTAAATCTAAAGCCATGAAAAAGAATCATAAAACATCTATTTGTCCAATCAAAAATTGTCTTCAATTTTACAGAAATAAGGGAGGACAAAAAGGTTGATGTGTTGTGAAATGTATAAATATATTCAATATACTGAATAATTGTTACATAAAATATGATGGAAGGCAAAATTATTAGCAGTTTTTCTTAGTAAGGACACAATTTGAACATATCTTCCCAAGTATTTGTATTTTCTTTTTAAAGAAATGATTGATATTGTAAATATTTTTTGTTGTTTTTGCAGGAAAAGATTGGAGTACCATCAGATAACTCTAAACAAGGCTCTTTCATTACTTCCTTGTGTTAGAAAAGAGCTATCCAGTATTAAAGAAGTTGTATCTAATAAGCTAGACAACTGGACTGGACTGAAAGAAGAGATATTTGTACAAATAAAAACTATAAGCAAAGTCTCGTTGACAGGTAAATCATAAACTTGTAATAATATTTGAGTAGTAGCTCGATAGTATTCATCACCATGTATTCTTTGACAGGTTTCAGTGTGTATATAAAACCATGTATTCTTCTTCAAGTGGTCTCCGTGGGTGCTCCACTCGTGGTGTTGGGCTTGTCCCGGCACCACGGATTGGAGACTTGCATAGCCGTGCTCCCTCCGGACCGCACATGCGCGAGCAGTGGCTTGCACTGTTCGTGCCTTTGATCTGTTGCGCATGGTCCGGCCCCCACTCAGTTCCTTCCAGCTACCCTCGGTCCTGACGGAGCTCCATCTCTCCCTCAGAGTTCTCCTTACCTCACATCTGTATATAGTTATTACCAAAACAAGTTTCTTCTACCCTTACCTGTTTCGTATTCTGGTTCAGTGTTCTTTAAAAAAAAAAATTCTTTTTACTCAAGGGCGATACACTCACTCTGAGAAATATCTGGGTCCCCAGGCTTTAAGAGGTGTGCAGTCTACCAGGAGCCCATGCCAGTGTCAGACGGGCATGAGGCATGTATATGGTGGTTGGGAGAAGCACACTTACCGCAGCACTGTCAGCATTGCTGTAAGCTGACAGCCAGAGCCTGCAAGGATCGGGACAGGCACTTGAAAAAGCTGTCAATAGACAAGACACTACAGCCTGCTGAGCCATCTACCTCTGCGGGGCACAAGCGCACCATCGTTGATAGCAAGACATCTGCTTCTAAGAAATGTAAGCCGTCCCCAACTCGGTCTCTGCCAGTGGCTCTTAGTACCGGACGGGGCTTGAAACATGGCTTGGGCACATCAGGGACAGCCAGGGCAGAGTCTCGGTGGCTGCCGGACACAAGCGGAAAGAAGCCGCCGCTGCTAGCACTGAGAGCACAATCGGCACCAGTTCCATCAGGGCCATAGAAACTGACATCTGCACCACCAGTACCAGGGGCATCGGCACCGGCAACAGGAACAGCTTTAAATCAACAAGGGAGCTTGCTGGAACCGGAGCAAGCTCCCTCACCACCTCATGCCCCGGCAGCACTGCAGGCTAATATCACGCCGGCACTGGGGGGAAGCCTGTAAACAGGCAATTGTACATCCAGGGCTCAAAAATTCTCCATCTCCAACTTTCTCACCGGGGCCACCCTTCTCCCCGCGATCACATCATCAGCATTACAATAGGGTAGGCAGCCCAGTCTCTTCTGATTGCTATTCCTGCTACAGAGAGCCAAGATATAGAGAGAGAAGGCTCTCTCTCTCTCTCTCAATCCTCATCTCCAAGGCGCTCATTAAATTACTCATGATCGCCCATCCAGTCACAAGGCGGTATTACTATACAAGGCATAGCAGTGTGTACTCTTCCAGGCATTTATTGGCAACGTGCTCAGAGCGGTACTGTGGTCATTACCACAAGGGATACTACAACCCTATTCATCATAACCGGACCTTCCAATGCTACAAGAGGCGCACATGTTGCTGTTTATCTACTGATTCTCAACACTTACCTCCAGTGCCTCAATGCAGTCATTCATCGCTTCCTCCTCCAAAAAGCCCAGTGATTCAGTTGGAGCACTCTGAGCCCAAAGAGGGTCAGTTGTCTGATCCAGAGGACCGGCAGCAGGGTGCATCACCAACAGACCACTCATCATCTTCTCCAGATGAGGCGGTGATTCTAGGTGATGTTTCCTCACCAGATGACCTGAAACAATTTCAAGATCTTTTCAAACGTGTTGCAGATAGTCGAGAGGTGCAGTTAGCAGATATTCGAATGAAACAGCACCGCCTCTTGAAAAACCTATGCCCACAGCACCAGAATAAAATTGCACTTCCTATTGATGAGGTGATCATGGAGGTGGCGGAGGAAATTTGGCAGACTCCGGCATCTGCTCCCCCAATGAGTAAAAAAGCGGATAAAAAGTATTTTGTCCCTGCTAAGGGCTTGGACTTTCTGTTTAACCACCCCCAACCTAATTCATTGGTGGTCGATGCAGTACAATATAGATCAAAAGTACCACAGTACAGAAATACCATTCCAGAAAAAGATAATAAAAAGCTAGATATTTTTGAAAGGAAAGTCTATTCTTCAGCCATGTTACTACTATGTATTGCCAACTATTCCGCTTTCCTTTCCAATCATAACTTTGATAATTATTCAAAATTGGCGAACCTTCTACAACATCTCCCTGATTCAAAAGACCATTACTCAAATCCATAGTATAAGAGGGGTACGCGTCATGCAGAGCTGCATTACAGATCGCCATGGATGTGGCGGACACAATGAGAAGATCTTCATGGTTATCATCTGCAGCAGTCCCCACGAAACTCCAGAATAAAGTTGAGGACTTGCTCTTTGATAAGCACAAGCTCTTTGCCAGCAAAATAGACGAGGCCGTGCACTCAGTCAAGGATTCCCAAACTACGCTTCGCACACTAGGGATGTATACACCCCTCTTTAGACGAAAGCATTATTATTATACTTACCAGAGACAATATGATTTCTCTTTCCATAGACAACAACCTTGACCCCTGGAACATCAACGATTCCGTCAGCATCCTCAGCGCAGACGTCAGCAGCCTAATCGTATCTCTAATCAGTCATCTGCAAAATAGCAAATTTGAAGGTGTAGTCAAGCTCCCATCTCACTTCTTTTCCAACATCGTCTAAGACCCTATTACCATCATTGGTCCACTATCACCATAAACAAATGGGTGTTGGAAATTGTAGCTTCCGGTCTCACCATTCCTTTCATTTCACTTTCCCCAACTACCCCACCCATCCTGTCCCTTTTCAGGGACCCATCTCACATGGATTGGTTGAAACAAGAGGTCCATTGTTTGCTCACCATTGGAGCAATAGAGAGAGTGCCTGAGGAATTCCAGGGAGAAGGGTTCTATTCTCAATATTTGCTTATTCCAAAGAAGAATGAAGGATGGAGACCTATCTTGGATCTACGAAATCTAAACCTATACCTCCGAAAACAACACTTCAAAATGGTCACCCTAGCTACAATTATACCAGCTCTGAATGAGGGAGATTGGTTCGCAGTCCTCGACTTACAGGATGCTTATTTCCACGTTGCAATACATGTGACGCGCAGACGATTTCTTCGCTTTACAGCAGCAGACAAACATTTCCAGTATAAAGTACTTCCATTTGGCCTGGCATGTGCTCCCAGGATATTTTCCAAAACCCTGGCAGTTGTAGCAGCTTACCTATGCAAAGCAGGGGTGATGATTTTTCCCTACCTGGACGATTGCCTGCTCAGAGGTCGCACTCATACAGAGAAGAGTGAGGCAGTAAAAATAACAACCCGAACATTCAAGTCTCTCGGTCTCATTATAAACATACAAAAATCATCACTGGAACCAACTCAGAACTTGATTTTTATAGGCGTTCAACTAGATGCAAAGGCAGCTCACGCATACTTACCTGCAGAATGCTTCCAGTCAATCCAAAACCTAACAGACACCGTCACACACCCTTCAATGATGCCAGTACCCACCTGTTTACAGTTGATGGGCCACTTGGCAGCTGCCACTCTCGTTCTGCACACAAGCTTACATTTTTAGATGTCTCCAGCACTGGCTAGCTTCAGTATACATTCCAGCGAAGCACAGTGTCCACAAGTTGGTAACACTGCCACCACACGACAAGGTGTCCCTGAACTGGTGGACCAAACCAGAAAATCTTTTGCGGGGTGTCCCCTTCAGGCAATTGTACATCCAGGGCTCAAAAATTCTCCATCTCCAACTTTCTCACCGGGGCCACCCTTCTCCCCGCGATCACATCATCAGCATTACAATAGGGTAGGCAGCCCAGTCTCTTCTGATTGCTATTCCTGCTACAGAGAGCCAAGATATAGAGAGAGAAGGCTCTCTCTCTCTCTCTCAATCCTCATCTCCAAGGCGCTCATTAAATTACTCATGATCGCCCATCCAGTCACAAGGCGGTATTACTATACAAGGCATAGCAGTGTGTACTCTTCCAGGCATTTATTGGCAACGTGCTCAGAGCTGTACTGTGGTCATTACTACAAGGGATACTACAACCCTATTCATCATAACCGGACCTTCCAATGCTACAAGAGGCGCACATGTTGCTGTTTATCTACTGATTCTCAACACTTACCTCCAGTGCCTCAATGCAGTCATTCATCGCTTCCTCCTCCAAAAAGCCCAGTGATTCAGTTGGAGCACTCTGAGCCCAAAGAGGGTCAGTTGTCTGATCCAGAGGACCGGCAGCAGGGTGCATCACCAACAGACCACTCATCATCTTCTCCAGATGAGGCGGTGATTCTAGGTGATGTTTCCTCACCAGATGACCTGAAACAATTTCAAGATCTTTTCAAACGTGTTGCAGATAGTCGAGAGGTGCAGTTAGCAGATATTCGAATGAAACAGCACCGCCTCTTGAAAAACCTATGCCCACAGCACCAGAATAAAATTGCACTTCCTATTGATGAGGTGATCATGGAGGTGGCGGAGGAAATTTGGCAGACTCCGGCATCTGCTCCCCCAATGAGTAAAAAAGCGGATAAAAAGTATTTTGTCCCTGCTAAGGGCTTGGACTTTCTGTTTAACCACCCCCAACCTAATTCATTGGTGGTCGATGCAGTACAACATAGATCAAAAGTACCACAGTACAGAAATACCATTCCAGAAAAAGATAATAAAAAGCTAGATATTTTTGAAAGGAAAGTCTATTCTTCAGCCATGTTACTACTATGTATTGCCAACTATTCCGCTTTCCTTTCCAATCATAACTTTGATAATTATTCAAAATTGGCGAACCTTCTACAACATCTCCCTGATTCAAAAGACCATTACTCAAATCCATAGTATAAGAGGGGTACGCGTCATGCAGAGCTGCATTACAGATCGCCATGGATGTGGCGGACACAATGAGAAGATCTTCATGGTTATCATCTGCAGCAGTCCCCACGAAACTCCAGAATAAAGTTGAGGACTTGCTCTTTGATAAGCACAAGCTCTTTGCCAGCAAAATAGA